GGCGAGAGACTCATTTTTCAAAGCAAGTCAGCTTTAGCGTTTCATTCTGCTCAAGACGTCCATGCTTTGGGAAGCCAGCAGTGCGAGCTGGAGCTGCTTTCAGCTGCCCGTGGGGAGGAAGAAAGACTTGCAGGTTCACAGAATGTGGGTTCCTTACTTGTCTGTCCTGCAAACACAGAAGCCTGCCTGAGGAAAGCTTTGCACAGAGGAAGTGTTTGCAGGCTAAATGTGGGAAGCAGTGCTGTGTTTTCTGAAAGTAGGTGTCTGCAACACAAACAGCAGCAGCTGGGACTGTTGTCCCAGGCATTGCAGATCTAGCTGGAGAACACCAGCGCGTGATTTGCTCGTAACACAGACATCTAATAGAGATCAGATGCAGTCTTTCTGCTGACCCTGGAGAGGGGCTGGGGGCTGAGTTCAGCTGTTGGGTGAGATGAATCCCCCTGGAAATGCTTTCCCATGTGTTCAAGCAACTTCTGGGAGCATCAAGTTCTGACTAGCATTGCCATGTTAAAGTAATAACAACTTACCTCATCCTAATGGAGCAGTGAAGTGCGGCTTTTCTTTTAGTGGCTCTGTCCCAGTCTGTGAGTCCTGGAAATAAATCTGTAATTATCTTTTCAATCATTTCACTGACTCTATGCAGCCTGCAGCCTGGGAACCTGAGCTAGATAGGCAGCACAGTTCTATATAGGTGGGATGCAGCAACCAAAATGTAGGCAAGCCTCCAAGCTTTTTATCTGAGTGAAAGATGCTGGGAGAAGGGAGGGAGGAAGGTCTGGCCTGCAGGAACTTTGCCAGCTATCAGAACTAGCATGATTCCCCCAGCACTGAAGAATGGTAAACTCTCAGAGCTTCTTTAGTGCTCTGCAGCCAGTAGAGATTTTTCAAAAACATATAGTGATAAAATATTTTTCTTTGGAAAAGGAGGATTTACCGAACCCCCACTTCCTTTCTAGAAGTGTTTCCTGCAGTTTTGAAAGGGAAGGTGGAACTTTTGGTGTAAACGAATGAGAACATGGCCTGCAGCAGAACCAGTGAGCCTATGGGATGGAGTACTTGTTAGAAAGAGGACTGAAGCCATGTCCTAGTCTTGGAGCAGATGGTGTTCCTAGAACTTTGTCCTGTCTGTTCCCCTGGCATGCTCTTTCCAGTTTGCCTCCCAAATGTCCTGAGTTGGTTCTGATGAGATATGAAAGTCCCTTCCCATTAGATCATATTTGCTCAGGCTGCTCCTTGCAGGTCCTTTGGTCAGATAGCAGAGCTGCTGATCTCAGTGGAAATGCCATGTTGCAAGCCCTGACGCCCTTTTTGCTGGGCAGTGAAGTTCTAGCCCTCTTGACAGGAAATCCTGGCTAAGTCTGCGTTCTGCAGCAAAATAATTTCATCTCGATCTGACTGGGGTAAGAGAAGTGAAGGAAACTGTTCTTCCTTCATTGGGGTGAAAGTAGAAGATCCTCACTGGTGCGAGTTACCCAAAAGTTCCCAACATAGGCTTGGTTCTCTAGTCCAAAGTGGAGACTAGCTGATTTCACTCTAGGCCTTTCATGATGAAGTCAGTTGAAGGGCTCAGTCCTATCTGGACAGTCTCCTGGCCTCTTCCATCAATCTCTTACAGACTTGATGTCTTCTGGGCCTAACCATCAGGAGTTAAGATGTGCTGCCTTGCCATGAATGCCTTGGTACCAATGTTCTTTGTTTAGAGGCCACCTGGAAATGCAGGTCAACCAAGTTGACATGTTGGCAGCTCAGTTGGCAGCTCAGTGTCATCCGAGAGTCTTGGGCAGTTTGTCTAGATGTAATTCTCCAGGATATGGGGGCTGAAGCAGTGTGCTGCTGCAGGTGCAGAGTGCTGAGCAGCACTGGTGTGAAGAGAATGCTCCTGATACAGCACAGAGACCTTTGGAAGCCAGGGCTGCATCTCTGCTAGGCAGAACAAGAGGCGTTCTCTGCCAAAAGAACCTATTTACCCTCATCACAAGAGGGTGAAGATTATTCCTCTTTTCCTAGAGGTGGTCCAGAATGGCAGGGCATACCTTTTGAGATGTCTGGAGATGAGCACAGAATCATAGAAAAGTCCAGGTCAGAAGGGACCTCAGAGGCCATCTGGTCCAAGCTTCCCCCAGCAAGAGGCAGGGCCTAGGCAAGGTTGTGTGATGTTTTGTCTAGCAAGCACTAAAAATCTAAAGCGTTGGAAAATCCACCGCATCCTTGGGGAGGTTACTGAGGTTACTCCAGTGATTGATCTCGCAGTAGAAGATTCTTGGTGTCCAACTAGAATCTCCCATGGGGCAAATTGCACCCATCACCCCTTGTCTTGGAGATTCGTGGAGCGCGTGGAAGATCATAACTTCCTGACACAGCTGGTAAGAGTGCCTGCCAGGGGAGGCAGGTGTGCTGTTTACAGTGGAGGACTGGGAGACATGGTTGAAAGCTGTCTTGGGCAGAGTGACCATGAAATAATTGAGTTGTCATTTCTTGGTGAAGCCAGGAGGGTGGTCAGCAAAACTGCTGCCTTGGACTTGTGGAGGGCAGACTTAGAGCTGTTGAGGAAGCTGGTTGGGAGAGTTCCTTGTGGGTCAGTCCTGAAGCACACAGGGGTGCAGAAAAGCTGGATAAGAATTCAAGAAGGAATTCTTAAAGGCTCAGGAACAGTCTGTCCCCATGTGCCATAGGATGAATTGGTGGGGAAGAAGACTGGCCTGGCTGAAGAGGGAGCCTTTGCTGAGACTCTGGGGAAAAAAGAGAATTGATCACCTTTGGAAGGAGGGGCAGGCAACTCGGGAAGAGTACAAGGATGTCGCTAGGATATGCAGAGAGAAAATCAGAAAGGTAAAAGCCCAGCAAGAAATTAATCTAGCCATCATTATTAAAAATAATTAAAAATACTTTTCCATGTATACTAACAGCAAGAATCTCCATCCTAGATGTCTTTTCCAACCGTTATGATCCTATGAATTTTCATACATCTGCTTGTAATAAAGGAGTCTCCATCTTCTTTGTAGCCACCCTTTAAATACTGGAACGCAGTGATGAAGTCTCACCTGACCCGTCTTTTATCCAGGCCAAGCAAACCTGTTTCGCTCAGCCTTTCCGCTCGTGGGAGGTTCTCCTTTGATCTTTTGATCAGAAGGACCAAAACTGAACACAGACTTCTAGATGTGTCCTGAGAAGTGTGGAGTAGAGTGGAATAATGGCTTATTTATTTCTGCCCGTGACGCCCTTGCTGATGGAACCCATGGTCGCAGCAGTTCACACACACTGAGCTGCTTACGCACCAGGAACCCCATGTATCTTTCTGCAGAGCTGCTCCCCAGCCAGGCTCCATCACAGTGGGTGTATCTCCTAGAGATCTTGCTAAAGCCCTGCAATGAGCCACTGCGTAGGTTCAGCATAGATGGGATGGAAGGAATTCCTTCACTGGGTCTAAGTCAGCTGCCAGCCCTGTTACCTTATTTTGGATGCTGGGAGAATGTGGGGAAGGAAGATCAAAGCAAAGGGAAGAAAAAAGGGGGTTAAAAAGGCTGTTTTCATCTATGGGTTATGAGAAGCAGTTTCTGCTCTTGAAGACTTGTGGAAGGTAACTGGGGCCATAGGCAAAGCTGGGATATAATGCATTCAATTACAGTGCTGCACAGAAGTGAATGAGAAGACCTCACAGCCTGTTTTGTAATAAAAGCTGCAGACAACCAGGATTGAAGCCTACTTTACAGCTATCTGAACTATAAAATTCTCACTCCAGCAAGAGAAAATGAGTACCTGAGCACACAGGCAGAGGTGAGGATGAAGCCAGCTCTAAGCTGAGCTGAGCTGAGGAACTCTGCCATTCAAGCCACAAATGGTTAAGGCATGGCTGGAAGCATCATCTGAAAACTCCTGTCTCGAGTGGTGCAGGGTTGGAGGTACTGGGACCTCCTCTCAAAGCCAAGGGAAGATTCCAGTGAGTCCCAGCAGTACTGTGCAGATTTGCAAAGGACTGCAAAGAAGCACAGTGCAGCAATGCTGCAGATGCAACGCGCTGGCTGGAGTAGGGATGTTCAGGTCTGTGCTCGTCAGACCCCGTCTGGAAAGGACATGCAGGTTTGCATCACATACATGGGGCTGTAGGGAGGATCAGTGTGTAGCCAAGCTGTTGGTACAGAGGGGGGAATGCAGAGAAAGATATTAAGTATGTGCCTCTGTTTTTCCCATGAAGTAACTGCAAAACAGTGCAAACAGGAAAGCTGTTAAGGGTTTAAAGACTTAGTTTTATTGTTTTCTCTAAGCGAAAAACTGCCATTGTTTCCCCAACACAAAGTTTTGCAAGAGTCATTTGGATCTGAATGTGTACTAATTGCTCTGCAGGCTCTAATAAAAACTCAAAATAAAGAGCTCTAGGATTTGGCTTCAAGATGAAGTATGTTCCACGCACAGTGATTTCTGATTACCCAAAGGCTCTTTTTTTAGCATGTAGCTGGTTTATTTTAGTCTGTGGAATATGTTTTATCCATGGCCTCTTTTCTGTGTTGGAGCTGAAGGATATGGGACCTGTAGTTTCTGCTGACAGTGATGCATGGAAACATCTGGGATTTTGGGATATTGCCAAAGAGTGGTGACTGTCAGTACCCAGGGGGCTGTGAGCTGTAAGACTAGCAGCAGTCAGTGCTCACCTTTCCCTGTTGAGCCAGGTTTTCCTCCAGCCCAGGTGAGGGCATCAGTTTGCTCCTGTGTAGGTCTTTGCCATGCCCACATCTGGAATTCACTGCACTGCTTTGTCGCTCTCCAAACCAATAGAGATAATAGAGGAATTCCAGAGAAAGAGAACCAAAGTGCTGCAGGGGATGGGGGAGCTGCCTGATGAGAACAGGCTGGGATGGCAGTCTGGGAATGACCTGAGAGCTGATGTGATTGAGGTCCTCAAAATCGTGTACAAACAAACTCAGCCTGTGGGAGAAAGAAATGAGGATTTTCACAATGAAAATTGTAACTTTTTTATTGTCAACTGTATTGTAAGGGAAGAAGGCAAAGCACAGGCATAGCGGAGGGGAAATGTATTTTAAAAGGGGATATTCTTTCATTCTATGACCTGTTCCTCTTCCCACCCTCAGAGCTGCTGCCTAAAACCTATCTTCACTCTCACAGAAAGAGGATGGAAGGTGACTTTCTGACACCAACGTGTTGAGAAATCTGCAGCCACTTCACAATGGGGTGGGACGGGTTCCCAGGGCACAGAGGGTGCTGCAGAGATCTGCAGTCCATGATGGTCGGCAGGTGAGATGTGAGGAGGGTGCCTTGCGCCCAGAAGCTGAAAATGACTTGGTAGGAGCCCAAAGATTGGAGCTACAGGTTCCTAACCTGGCAGTCTGAGAATACAACGTGGGGAAGTTCAGAGGACAGAGCTCCTGAGATACAACTTGGGAGCATTCTCAGGTGGCCATGATGCATTCACACTGCACTGAGTGCATCCCACCCTGTAGGGTTTTCACAGGTTGAAGGAATTGTTCCCCCAGTCTTTGGAGAACCTCTGCAGTGATGTAAGGTTGCAGTTGTTTTTGAGTCTCTTCAGGCCCTGGGATTACTTAGCCTGGAGAAGGGGAGGCTCAGGGAGTGGATCTTGTCAATGAAGGAAGGCTGCAAAGAGGAAGGAGCCGTGCTATTTTCAGCAGTGCCCAGGGCCAGGACAAGGGGCATTGGATACAAACTGGAATACGAGAGGTTCCATCTGAACATCAGGAATCTCTTCTGTACTGTGCAGACGATGGAGTGTTGGCACGTGTTGCTCAGGAAGACTGTGGTGTGGAGATCTTCAGATGTGGTCCTGGGCACCTGCTCTGAGTGGCTCTGCTTAAGCAGGGGTTGGAGAAGATGGACCCGTAGGTCCCTTCCAATCCTAACCATTCTGTGGTTCTGAGTAGAAGATGGGACACTGGTAAAGACATGCTGGGGCTTTTCAGGCTGTCAGAAGCTCCCTCAGCCTTGGTCGGCGAGTTTTGTCCAAAGGTGAGAAGTGAAACCACCTGGGTTGCTGTGTAGTCTCTGAGACTGTGGTCAGGAAGAAACTTCCTCCCAGTCTGAGTGACAGAGATCCTGGAGGCTCTTTGCCACCTCCAAGTAAGAAGTCATGTGAGGTATCCCCTGTTTCGTGGGACCACATAGGCATTGTCCGCTCTCTCTGCAGCCATGTCCCAGCTCTCTCCTGCCCTGTGCCTTGGCTCACAGCAAAGCCCGGAGCCATCTGAAGGCTGTTAAGTTAAAAAGAGTTAAAAAGAGTTAAAAAAAAGGAGTTAAAAAGAGTACAGAAAGAAAGTCTAGAGGGTACCTCATGAAATTTAGTAGAGACAACTGCAGTTTGCTGGAGGAATGCCAGGCACTGGCATGGGCTGGGGTCTGACTGGTGGTCTGCTGAAAACCACCATGTCAGCTGTGTGCCTCTGTGTCACCAAAGGCCAAGTGTGCCTGGAGTTGCGTTAGCCAAGGTGCAGCCAGTAGATCGAGGGAAGAGGCTTCATCTCTGTTCAGGGCTTGTGAGACCATACCTGGTCACCATGTCTGCTTTTGGACATCACAGTGCAAGATATCTGCAAAATGAAGGTAATCATGAGGATTACGTGTGCCTTCAGGTTTCAGCATGGGTTCACAAGGCCAAGAGGCTGGTGGCACCTGAATGGCAGCACAGACACCTTCTGTCTTTCCCTCTTTCCCCTTGTGGCAACTCACAATGCAGGGCACCAGCAGAAAAGCTAGGCTGGGCTGTAGCCTGTGTAACTGACATCTGTCTGGGGCTCCCAGTGCCCCTTCATGGTACTGACACCCTTGTAGGTCCAGCAGAGCAAGGAGACATTTTGGGTGTTTTTTTTTGTTTTGATAAAAGACCCAGAAGGGTCAGTCATGCTCTGTCCTGCATCTTCCAAACTTAGCAGCTGCTGGCAAAGTCCTATTGCCCTCCCTCTCCCGGAGTCTGCACCCCACATACTGGGAGCAAGCAGCCTCCCTCGCCACCCCTTCCCCTTCCTGCCATCCCCCCTCACCTGATCTTGACTGAAGTTGTCCAACATGCTTGGCATCTGCTTACTTCCTCCTTTACCTGCAACATCACAAGAGGCACACAGAATGGCTCTTCCTCCGCGTGTCCCTGTGCCTCCTGCCCTCTCCTTGGAACCAGGGTGGGAGCACAGCCCCCCTGGTGGACCTGCTGCCCTGTCTCTGCCAAGCCCGAGGGAGCAGGATCCGAAGCACTGGGACAAAGCAAGGCTGCAGCAAGGAGCAGCCCAGCTCGGCTCAAAGGAAAGCTGGTGCTCCAGCCAGCAGCAGGGTTCTTCTCCGAGCATTCCTTGTCACAGCAGCCAAGCAGTTACACAAACTGAAGTGGGAGCCTTTCCAGTTCCTAATGCAGGAAAGAAAATTTAAAATAAATCATTTTCCACCAGCCATTCAGCTTCAGCAAAAGCTGGGAGACTTCCAGAGCCAGTCCCTGAAAGAGAGCCACTGTGTGGCTTCCAACCTCTCACAGAATCAGGGCAGACTTCGCTTCATCTCTGCCCAGCTTTTTTGGGACTGGTGCTTTCCTGCCCTGGGTGCCAGCCTGGTTTTGGTGGTCCCGTTGCCCCACATAGGCCAGTGAGTGCCTCAAGATCAGCAGTGTACAATTGCTTCCTGGGAGCCCCATCACGCTTGCCACCCAAGCACTCAGGAGCAAGCCTTTAAGGCTCATCAAAGCAGGGATGGGACATTGCTGTCCTTCACCAGCCAGCTCTATCCTTATCCACTCGTAGTCCAGTGGCCAGGCAGGACCCAAACGCAGAGCCTGCAAGTCAGCGGCTGTGCCCTAGCCTTTCCTACAGTAGTCACAGCCTCCTTCCAAGCACAGATCCATGCCATTCTGCTTACGTGAGCCTTACAGAGCTGGGCTGGTCCAAATCATGGACCTGCAGCTTACCAGCTGTCTATGTCTCAGCAGAGCCACCATAACCATCAGTGTGAGTAGTCCCAGGCAGGGTATTTGCCAGCTCATTCTCTTTTCCCAGCTCTTTTTTTGTATGCTAACCTGCATTATGTTTTCTGGAGGCCAGTAGCAGTGGACATGAATGGGATGCCCGCCCTACCTGTGGGGCCGAGGAGAGCAGCAGTCACTCGAGGGGATGCCTGAGGCTGCAGGAAGGGCAAGGCTCATGGTCATGTGAAGATCCATCGGTGGGAACTCAGATGTCACCTTCCAGCCCCTCCCGCACAGAGCTTGACCAGATACTGCTTGTATTTAGTACGAGGCGGCTGGGTAACTCATTACATCCCAGCTGTTCTCTGGGGCTTCTGGGCATGCTTCAAGGAACTGTCACCATGAGCATAGATCTAGTAGCTAGCGAGTTGCTGAGTAATGTCCTGAGTTGATACACATTCAGCTTGCTGAAGAAGCTCAGTTGCACAGGACAGCCTCCATCCACTTGTGTGTGCCACAGCATTTGGGTTCACATCTCAGAGGAGACTGCTGGCTTCGTTCAGACCAGTGTGCTGGGAGCTTGGAGCTGATGCCTTCCTGGCTGAGCGCATCCTCCCCTGGCTTCCCCAGTGCCAAGGAAGAGCACGCCTTGGAGTTTAACTGCTGACTGCTCAGCCCTTCTTCCAGAGCATAAATGTCCCACTTAGACCTCACAGAGGGCAAAGCATAGTAAGCGTAATGCAGTAGCTTATGCATAATAACAGGAATATTGATTTATTGACATTAAGAATTGAATTAAAGTTAGGAGGAAAAAATGAGACTTCGCATTTACTAAGGATTGCCAACATTTCTTCTTAGCACTGTCTCCTAACCACATTTAGTTTCCTGTTTTCTGGTTGCTTATAGCTGTGCCAAGCTTTCGTTACTGGACTGGAATTTCGCTTGGGTGGTATCTAGGTTCCTGCTGAAGTTACCGCAGTGAGAGAAGGGAGATGGGAAATTCCAGCCCGAACTCGTTGGCTGGTTTTAAAAATGCAGACTTAAGACTACATTATTCAGCTCACGTCAAGAAAAAGACCAGCAGAGCTTTCCTAGAAAGGTTTCTCCAAAGATCTGAATATTGACTCTGTGTTTAGTATTACGCCTTCCCTATGGGAGAGTGTCAACATTCAGCTCATGTTATTTTTTCAGCATTACTCCAAATTACAGTGCAGTCATGTTCACGAGAATCTTAATAGTTTTGCAGGTAAATTGCTGGAAGACATTGCATTGGCTTGGTTCTGCTGCCAGTGTACAGGAAGGAAGGCTGGAGAAGGAAAGAATTGAGAAGGCCTCCCTGCTGTATTCAGCTGCTGCACTGCCACAGCTGAAAGCCAGGGAGGACCAATGTGTGCAGAGGGAGGAGCATTACAGTGCTTAGCAAAGAATGGGCAGCTCAGACGTGGGATGGGGCTGGTAAGCTGTCTGGCATGGAGCAACAGCAGTGCAGCAGGTTGATGGGGTTCTCCTCTCTGTGTTTCACGCTCTTTGGTCTGTTATTGCTTGCAGGATCGTGCATCTGTCCAGGTGCCTGGCTGCACCTAGTGTGGGGATGCTGCGAGCTCTGTGACAGCGGGGGATGCACACGGATGCACACGGAGAAGAGGTAAACCTGCCTGCATGGCATCTGCCTCATCCCACATCTGCGGGATGAGCAACTGGAGGAGCATTTCTCCCCAGACCAACTCCACAAAAGACTCTGACCTCCTCAATCCACCTCATCAGCAGCTGTGAACTGGACACAGGGAGGGCCTGGGTACTCCATCTCAGCTGGGCTTTGCCCTAGGCACAGTCAGAAGGGGTTAGTGTTCCCAATGGGATCTGTTCCACTTAGCTCAGCACATATCCGCACAGCTCTCCCAGCAAGTCTACACCCACGCCTCTCCTCTCCCTTGCTCCTTTCCCATGCATACAGGAACCAGTGGTGGAGGATGGACCACTGACCTGTCGAGGGGTAGTGAGAGCAGAGGCACATCTCGGTACCAAGAACTAGTAGGGCCCTGCGTTAAGCAAGCACTGCTAACGAGAGCCTCAGCTCAGCAAGTCAGAGCATGCAGAGCCCATTCCCAAAGTCTGGGCACCCTCACAGCTTCTCAGAGGTGCTGTTATCTGTAGTTTGCAGAGAAGCTGAGGCAGGGAGTTAAGATCTGCCTGTGACATGAGGTAGGACCAGAACCAAGGGAAGAAGCCAGGATTCCCATCTGCTTGCTGTAACCAGTTGGGTATGCTCCCTTCCCAGGTGAAGGCAGACACAGTTTTAAATCACCCTGTTTTAATTTGGCTGTTGTGCCTCAGCCCAAATGTCATACAGAAACACTGGCTTCCAGAAGAGAGAATTTCTGCTGGCACTGCAATCACTGGATTTCAGCTGTAGGGCTCACAGTGCTTGCACAGCAGTGTAGGGCTGCTGCCCATGGCTCAGGATGCTGCTAGCAAGACTTTGCATCAATGGGCATGTTTGCCAATAAGGTCCCTTTTTATCGAGAAGCCACTTGTGGTGCAGTGTAGTGTCCTTCCCTTGCCCTAAAGAGAGCACCTCATAGCATACTCAGCAGGGACACTTTTGCCAGAGCTTTAGCTGGTAAATACTTCAGCAGTACTTGTATACCAGGAAAGGTGTTACTCCAGAAGGAAAGAAGCTGCTTAGAGATGTGAGTCAGCAGGGAGAATCACACAGGTTGGCAGATCACAGCTGCTTAAAAGTGTTAAAAAAAAAAAACCAAAAACATAAAAAACCAAACCCACATCTGTCTCCTGTTTCCCCAGTGCCATCACAGGCCCAGCTTTCAGGGGGCAGGCAGTGCTGGGGAGCAGCGCTCCTGTGACCAGCTGCATTTCTGTCCCCAGCCTGTGTTCAGGGCTGGGTGTGTGGAGCTCTGGGGGCAGAGAGGAGGGGATGCCTGGATCCTTGGTGGAACCCGACGGCAGATTTTCTTCTCCATTCTCAGTGCTGGGTGACAAGCACTCATCCTTACAAGCAGCAAATCCAGATATGAACCCTCTCTGCTTTTCTCCTGGAGGACGCACGTTTTTCCCCCGCTCCTACCACCACAGCTGTGGCATCGGCTGTCATCCCGCTGAGCTGCCGTGGGCAAACCGGCGCTGTTCGATCCTCGGGGCTCCGGTGACGTGGGGTCTCTTCTGTTGTAGGTAGTGCCGCGCCTGAGCTGACCGCGGGGAGGGAGCCCGCAAGCGCCGGGAGGACGAGCGGAATATGAGCGAGAGCAGGCACTTTCCGTCGTCTGTGGCAGCCCGCAGCGAGCTGCATTCCTCAGGCTCGCAGCCCGCCGTGCGAGCCCGCAGCGATGGGGACGAGCAGCTCGGCGAGCCTGCAGAGCCTGCCAGCGGGAGAGCCGGCCCCCCGGGTGACGCCGAGCCCAGCCCAGCGGCCGTTGAGGAGCGCCGCGGGGACCGACGTCTGGCGGCCTCGACGGGCGAGCGGGAACGGGAGGCGCGCGCCACGAGTAACGGCCAGGGCCGCGAGGAGCCGGCGCTGACCAACGGCGTGGGCGCGGAGCTCGGCGAGGGCGGCGAGGCGGCTAGGCTGCGGCCGCGGGACGGCGGCGTGCCCAGCCCCGGCAGCGTGGATTCTGGGGAGGAGGGCTCCCCTGGGCCGCAGGCACGGAGCCGGGCCCTCGGCAAGGTGCTCCTGCACGGCTTCCTGGGCTCCTCGGGAGCGCTGAGCGCTGATGAGCCGGAGGAGCCGCTCGGGTGAGTGCGAAGCTGCCGCAGCGCTGGCTGGGTGATGGCTTACGTGTGCCGTTTCCCAGTCTGAGTTCCACTTCTCCCTGTGTAACTTATCACTTTTAAAAGCTGCAGCTGCTCTCGTGGCTGACTGTCTTTTTGCTCTCTTGCTCTGGGCTTCTTTCCCTATCGCAAATGTGGAAAGTCTGTGATTAGAGCCAGTGTCTGGCTCAGATGTGCTAAGGCGAAGGAAAAGGCTTAGGGACTTCTTAGGGAGAGGGATGACTTTTGGGAGTGTCCCACTTGTGACTTGAGCTGCGGCTGCAGCACTACAGGCAGTTTACTGAGATAGCTGGAGTAGTGGGCAGGGCGGGCACGGCAGCCTGCAGCCATGGGAAGCCTGGGGTGTCCTGGGAGTCCCTGGCAGCATGGCTGGCTCTGTCAATCCATGGCCAGCAGGATGCAGCTTTGCATCCAGAGGAGCACATCATTAGTAAGGGAGGGCAGGGCACTGAGCTTTGGTTCCCATTGCTCTTGTGGCTGGTGCTGCCAGTGCCTGGGTGGCACAAGGATAACTCAGTTTCTGCTTTGTGTATGTAGCAAGGGGTGGATGTGCTGCTGCATCAGGGATGAGTGTGATTTAGGATGCTGGGAGGTGAGCAGGATGGTGGGAAGTGCTGTGTAGTGGGGTGATGTGGTGAAGCTGGGGGCTCGCCATGCCTCAGCTCAGGTGCACCTTAGTGATGCCCCACAGCAGCTGTGTGTGTGCTCAGAGTCACTGCAGCAGGTTTAGGAGATGTGGCCACTAGCACACAGCATGCTCATTGCTGCTGGGTGGCAATGGCCAGGTGGAGGAGAGGGCCTCTTGAAGAGCCCCCAGTGCCTGTCAGCCAGGCAGGACCCCACCATCGCAGCAGGGACCGTGTCCTGCTGCTCTCCCAGCTCTACACTCCTCCTGTGGTTTAGGTCCTCCTAGTTCAGGTAGCCTTCACCAGTGCATGAGGCTAGCTGTAGAAGAGCCTACGCCGGCCTTTTTACAGGCACGCTCCAAATTTGCATGCCTGAAGGTCCAGGGCAGGCAGTCCCCTCCCAGACCCCATACTCTGCAGCTGGATGGGTGGCAGCTCAGCAGCTCAGACACGTGCCTGTCATCTTGTTCTCAAGTGCCTGAGACAAACCACAGGATGCCCCCACCTGTGTCCTCCCTGCTGGCAGCCCAATTTCATGGGACAGCTTTCCAGGCTGGGGGACACTGAGCAGGGACTCAGCCTCACTGAGGTGACCCTGCAAGTGCCTATGACTGCACAGGGCCCTGCAGTCTGCGGGGTGGTCACTGGATTGAGGTGGGCTGCTTCCCATGGCATTCCTGCAAGAGGAACATAGATCACAAATCACCCAGGGAGTTGTATTGTATCTGCCCAAGGTTGATGGTCACTGTGAATGTTATGGCTTTGCCTGCACATATCTTCTACCCCAAAATGGAAGAGATGCCACAAGCATGACAGGGCTGGAGAAGAGCAGAGGAGAATGGCGTTCTAAGAGGAGAAGGTGTAACAGGGACAAGATGGCAAAGGGGCATTTGAATCACCTCCTGACTGTGCAGGCTTCAGGCTGAGCCACTGGCTCAGAGCACTGTCTGGAGCATGGCCAAGAGTGTTAGTGGTGCTGGGAAGCTGCGCAGCATGTGGGCTGACGGCAGCCATCCTTAATTCGTTGCATCTGTAGCAGTTAGCAGGCTCCCCAGCAGCAAACTGGTGGTTTGCGTTACCAACAGCGCCAGCAAGAAGCAGCAACTATTTCAACAGTCACAACTGAAGGTATTAAAGAGGAATAGGTGTCCAAGGCGGACTGCTTCTATCTGCTGATGTCTGGAGAGCCCAGGGAGCCTACCTCTGCACCTGTTCCACAAGTCCTGTGAGCTACTCTGTCAGCTCTTGGATGTCTGCAAGTCACTGTGCTGCGAGGGAATGCTGCTTGATCTGTGGCTCCCCAGCAGACAGTGAAATCAGAAGGAAGCTATGAGTGGTGAGTGAATGCTGGTGCAATCACTGGAAGTGCAATTACTTTAAGGTACAGGGGCATGAACTGGGAGAAGTGGCAGGCTGAGCATTTGGAGCCAGTGCAGCCTGACTGCACTCTGCATGAACTGACCATGATCTTGTGCTCTGAACATAAGGACTTGGATAGTAAATAAGTATTCTGGGAAGCTGAACGCACAGGGGACAAGTCATATACTATATGTGCTTGATGGCAAAAGTGCAGATGGAAAACTTCAGGGATGCAACTGAAATCTGGGAAACTGTGTTGTCCAGGAATCAGGTTAGCTGAGTACATTCAAAGGTGGTGCTTTGACCACCTACCCACTGGGTGGTTGGGCAAAAACCAGCACGGCCCTTCTGTGCCATAGGGAGCTGCCAGCTACACTTGTGTTGCTCAGTGAGCGTGGGTCATGAGTCACAAAGCTGACAGAGGGACCAAGGCACTGGAGAATTCATAGTCATCCTCTGTTTTTCCATTTTCCTGTTCAAGGAAATAAAGACAAAGCTTTTGTGCTTGTGCTGCAGTTTGCACTGGCTAAATCCCTTTGGCCCCTCTTTCTTCTGTCCCATTGGCATGCCAGCACACTGTCAAAGCCCTGTTCCACTCCTCGTGGATGTTTTGGCTAGAAGTCTGCCACCTTCCCTTCAGCCCCCAGCACAGGCCCTGCTGATCTCAGAAAGTTGCATCTCTGCAGTCAGAGAGCTTTACTGGTGAATGACATTCTCTGCTTTCAGCCCCATTAAGATGTCAGGCTGGTAAATATAGGAATCCCCACCTTTGGCTTGTGATATGTGCTCGGTGCCTGCAGGCTTGGGACTGCTTTTGCACACACGCTTTTTCCCATGGCAACGTACAGCCATTGTGCATTTCACTTTCCATTAAACAAAGTTTTAGAAAACTTTGCAGAAAGGCACAGCGCATAGGCAAGGAAGTCCTGGCTGCCAGCATGTCTTTCTCTGATGGCTCCACCAACACAGCAAACGAGGTTCTACTTTATTACAACTAATTAACCAGTGCGAAGTGAAATATAAACAACTCAGTGCATAAAAATCCAGTGCGGTGCAGCGGCAGTAATAACTGAATGCATAGCTCGGCATGCCTTGCCATAAGCAATAAAACAGCATTTCAGAGATGACTGAGGAAAGCAGCACAGGCAATTAGATACAGTGCTACTTCAATACACAGAAGCTTGTGATTACAATGCAAATAAATATATGGCTCCTTAGTTAAATAAAGCAATTGCCTTCCCCGCTGTGTAATACTTAAGTGCACAACACTTCCCTGTGGGGAGGCTGCGCTGTGCTCACTCGCAAGCAAGGTCTTACCTCATCTCCCTCCCAGTCCAGCGTGGTTGAATCAGATGCAGGTGGCTGCCCTTGGGCTGCTCTAAGCTGTAGGAAGGTTGCTTGCCCTCCTCTGGGGAGGGTCTTCCCTGGGACCATGCAGGGAGGATGTGATGGGCTTGTGGCTGTGGGTGCTGGAGGCTTGTCAGCATCTGCTGAGCTGTCCCTTTTGCAGCCTCTGCCCTGCTCTCTGCCCTCTCCCGCACGCAGCCTTCAGTGAGGCATTTCTAGGAACAAAGAACTCCGGACTTGGTGCAGCTGTAGGAATTTGGGCTCAGGGAATAAACGCAGGGCTGGAAAATATGCAGGCGCTGTTACAAGGGCTTGGGCAATGGGACTCCTCCATAGGGTGCAATTAAGGCTGTAAAATCCTTCGTGTTGCAGAGAGGTGGAGTTTTAAAAGTTTCTCCTGTTTCGTGGAGGGAAAAAGCTTTTTCTGCACACACGTCTTGCCAACATGGATGGATCTGGGAAGATAAGCAGAGCTGAGGATGAGGAGACCTGGAGCTGCAGCTGCCATCTGGCTTGCTGTGTGGCCAGCTCTGGTGGTCTGGGTGGCCCTGAGCTCCTGGAAGTAGGATGTTATCTGAAGGTACAATTCATGTCAGCTTTCAGCTGTTGCAGCTCCAGAGTTCAGTTTGCAAACAGCAGCTCTAACAGCACAGACTGCAGAGAGGACTTGTCAGAGGATGTGAGAACCTGTTAGTCTAAGCCTGACGGCTCTTGAGTGTGGAGCGTGAGCTGTGCACGGCTGTGTCCCTCCTCGCAGTGCCCTTCAGGTGGCTCTGCCCTGCCTCCTGCTTTGCAGGTACTGCCAGTTCCTGCCACAGCTCACCAGGCAGCTGAGTGGGCACCCAGCAGCATGGGGATGGGAAGGCAGCATGGAGTGGCCACTCCACAGCACCTGCTTGGGTTCCTCAGGCTCTCGGGACACTGAGAAGTAAGAAACGTGACAGTGCTGACTTGTCCTCCCCTCTCTGACATCTCTGGCACGTTAAAAGCAGGATGGTGTCCCC